CCTCCAAACTCCTTCACTGCATCTCCACAATTGCCCACAAGAGAAAACAACAACAACAACAACAACAAAACCGGACTGAATCTGCCTGGATAACAGCAGCTGCTATTTATGTGGCAGGAACTTACAAGGACTGTCTTATTTAATCCTCACAACTACTCCACAGTAGAAATTAGCACCTCCATTTGCAGAGAAAGAAACAGGAGGCTCAGAGAGGAAAAATGGCTTCCCCAAAGCCCAACAGCTGGTAACACACAGCTGTTCCTCTTCTGGGAACCTGCAGACCAGAAACTTTCCCCCACTCCCAACCCCTCCCCGCGCCAGAATCTCCAACTACGCTAAAGCCCACAAACGGAACATCTTCCCTTCCCCTCGCCCCGAGCCCACAAATGAACCACCATTCTGGCCCTCTCCTGGAAGCCTGTGTAGCGGAAACATCCAGGTCCCAGCTCTGTGAACCAACTCCTCTAGGCTGGCCCCTAAAATGACCAGTGGCACCTAACATCTCCCCTAAAATGACCAACAATACCTGCAACTTTATGAAGGCTCATCCTGGCCAATCACTTTCCACACACAATCTTATTCAGTCCTCTCTGAAACCCTGTGACGTAGTATTCTCACCCACTTACAGATGGGAAACTGAAGCTCCGAGGAGTTAGGTACCCAGCCTGAGGTTATGCTTTGGGTAAATGGGAGTCAGGATTGAACTGGAGCACCGTCTCATCACCATCCTGCTCTGCCTCTCCAGGTCTTTCCCGCTTCCTTCTGAGCTCCCTGGACTGGATATCATGCTGTAGCCGAGGCCCATTCCAACTCTTCCCTTCCTCAGCCCCAGTCCCCCAAGCCCTCCGACCCAAAAGTGCCCGCCTATTCCCGGGGCCAAGAGCCCAGGGACTGGGCTGGCTCCCAAGGCCAAGAATTTTAAATTAACCACCGTCTCTTTAACAATTAATGGCCAAGATGGCATTTATGGTGGTTCCCCGTGTGTTCAGCTTCCAGTTCCCACGTCTCCCACTCTCACATCAAAGCCACCAATTCCTCCACTGCCCACAGACTAGCAACAGTTCCTCCTCTCTCCCCAGGGCCAACAGACCAACTTCTGTAGAGCCGGGGCCAGGCTGATCCCTCTCTTTGCGGGCTCCATCCCAGCAAGACTGCCAGACCTGGCCAGGACTCAACACTGCCAATCCACCCCGAAGCAACTTTCCACCTTCCCAGCCCTATGGATAAAACACACTCTTCCAACTGTCCTTTCAGTTTCAACACTGAGCCGACCTTCTCCAGAGGACATATAGCCCAGGGACTTGCTCTCTCTCCCCACACCTCAAGCCACCAAACCTCTTCAATGCTCTCACCTTCAACTGACCGGCAACTCCAATTCCCCAAGGCTTCCTCGGGGGGGGGGGGGGGT